ACCACAGGGGAGCACAGGGAAAGGCCAATTTACTGCTACCTCTGGCCCTCTGGCGTGAAGTTAGCCAGGCTTGGCTGAGTTCTTGGGGACTCAGGAGAGGAGACACACAGGCAAGAGAGCCACTGTTGGTCGAATGCCCATTATGGATGTCCTGGGAATCATGCAGACTCCTTTACATACAACTCTATGAGGTGGGTGTGGTCATGATCCCCATGTTACGGATGAAAACCTAGGGGATTTAAGAGGTTGAATGAGTTGCCTCAGGCAATCCATGAGGTAAAGGGCAATCCCCTATTCCTCTCTGCGGCCTTGCCACCTGCCATACTATGATTTTTCCCTTCCCTGTCCTGAAAGGACGGGGTCATGCTAAATCTGCCTGTGACAAAGCATAAAGGGAAAGACACTTTTGATTAACAATATTTATGGGAAGATGCCACTTTTATGTATTTCTCTATGCAAGAAATGCCATTTGGAAAGCCAGTGTGTGTGTCAGTATTTTTTCTTTCTTTCTCTCTGAGAAAATGCCTATAGAGTCTGGTGAGGGTAGGGTCTGCAGCTGGCAGGAGCTTCGGCATATGTTGTAACTAAAAAGAGAGGGATGTGTTCGTGGGACAGGCCGCCGGAGAGCTGTCTCGGTGTGCTGCGGTACTAGTCAGCGTTTTAATTGGGTAGGGTTTTTGGAGGACTATTTTGACATCTGCTCGTGTCTTTGCTGATTTTTCTTCACTTAGAGTAGGAAACACAAGCTGTGGATAAAATGACTTTAAAATAATTGGAAGTAAAGCTATCTTTTTCAAAGTCGAATTTGAGAGGGACACTTTTTAAGAAGTGGAAAGTAAATTCCACTTCTAGGAATCCATCCTAAAGCACAAGGCTTTGTGCCTACAGATTTCATGACAATATTACATATAATAATTTCTTAACGGATATAATAGCCCGCAGAAGGGACTTAGATGGTGGGTTTGTTTCCATGAAGTGAAACATTTTGTAACAATTAGTAATGATCTTTACAAAGGTTTTGATGAAGTGGAGCATTGCTTATATGTAATAAATAGAGAATCAGAGAGAAACATTAAGAATTGTTTCAACTGCATTTTGTTTTTTTTTTTAAGTAGGAATTGGGGCAGAGGAATGTGGAAGGAAACGCACCAAAATGTTTTCTCCAAATGGGTGAATGAGGGTAACCGTAATGTTCTTCTTTGAACTCTTGTGTCTTTCCCTTTTTTTTCTCTCCCAGTAGTCATATGTCATTTTTATAATACAAAAGGCAAGAGAAAGCAGGTCCTGAGTGTGATAGTAAAACTGCTTTGGTAGGTATTTGTACTAAAGTCTGAGCATCGGTCTGGGGACATCTTCAGAGGCTTTCAAGTCAGACTGGGTTCAAAACTCAGCTCTGCCACTCACTAGCTATGTGATTTGGGCAATTTGTTTGAGCTCTGTGAACCTCGTTTCCTTGTCATGACCATGGAGATGGCAGTATCTCCCTCCTGACATGGACAGGATTAAATGACTGGCACCCAGTACGGGTCCAACTTCCTTCTCCACAAGCGACCCCTTCTCGCACCCTCGTTTGAGGTTTATTGTGTTTTTTTGTTTTGTCTTTTTCATTCTCCTTGTTTCCATGAGGCTTCCAGGGATAAGGCACTACCCTCCCGAGCTGGCCTCTGATTCTTTCCTTGGGAACACTGAGCTTCAGAAAGGCCCTGGGGTCCGTGCCAGCAGCCCCTTTGGAAGAGGCCTTGCCACCAAGAGGGCAGCATTGTCCTGCAAGAGGAAACTGTGCCGACCCAGCCCCTGCCTGGAGCCTGGTGCTTGGGCATTTTTGTTACTAAGGGGACCCTGGCCTACTCAGTCGGGAAAAAAGTGCCAGGTTTTTGCCTCTTCTTCAGCCTGCCGCCGTTGTTGAAAAAGTAAACACTCCACACAGCTAAACCAGCAAGTCCTCCAGGCAGGAGTGGGGAGAAATCAAAAGCCCTGCCCAGCCCAGCCGTGGAGAGCCCACAGGGCCAGGCTCTGCTGTTGGGGCCCCGCGGGGAACACAGAAACAACGCCAGTTCTGGTCCACAGCCAACGTGCCACTCACTGGGCCTTTCAGCCCCTGCGGCCTCTCTCCAACGGCCAGGCCCCTTCCCCCTTGCATTGACATATCTGGAGCTCTTTGGAAGGTCAGAAGAGGCAAAAAAATATATATATTTATTTATTTATATTAATATATATATTTATTTATATTTATATATATATATAGTGTTTCATATATGATGATTCTGAAGTGCAGCTGCCCTAAGCTCAGTCCTTGGGGCCTGAGCTGGGGCTCTGCCCTTCTTCCGCTCTTCTCTGATTGTTTCTGGTGCTGGTGTCTTTGAAGTGAAAGCCCAGCAATTGCTAAGAAGGGGCCAGCAGACTTTTGCCCTTAGGCCGTTGCCTCCACAGCCGTCAGACTAGTGCAGGCTGGTGCATGTATTATTAAAGTAATAGTAATAGCTATTATTGCGAAGTCCGACTGTGTGCCCAGCAGCCCCATGGGGGCAGTGGGGTAAGGAGGGCAGTCACAGTTATCCTCTCGGTTTTACAGAGGAAGAAGCCACAGAGTAGCCACATAACCTGAGGAAGCCCCTTCAGCTCTCTTGAGCCTCAGTTTCTCACCTCTGAAATGGGAATGATGATACCTCACCTGGAGCTACATTGCTTGAAATGAAAGACACTTTGCAAAAGTGCTGCGTGAGCTCTGAAGTGTGAGATTAGTGAACAAGGTGGTCATGGAGGCCATGTTTGTAACTTCCTGCTAGCATGCCGCAAGGTATTTAACCTGTCAGGTTGCAAAAGGAAGCAGCTAAGGAGCCCTGGGCAATTCATCAGGAGTCTTCATGTTCTCATCTGTAAAAAAGATTGTGCTTTGTGAAACACTGATGATGTGTAGTATTATCAGCGCTGTTTGCTCATAGTGTTTCACTCTAAGTAAGGCGGTCAGTTAATGTAAGTGTTGGAGTTTGGGGGGGAGAATACACTTCGAAATAGGCAATCTTGTCCCTCTTCTGCGGTCTCAGCCTGTAGTAAGCACTTAGTAGAACTATGAATTGATTGGTAGGTTTGTGGCCTGGGCCCCCATGGCCTAGGGAAGCCAGTAGCAGAAGTTTGAGGCTCCTGGTCTTGTTGAGGGGGAAGATTCCAGGATTCTGCCCTCAGGGAGTGTTATTTCAGCCCTGAGAAACTTCTGACCAGCATGGCTCCACTCCTGCTGGGAGGAGTCTGGAAATGTTTACACAGGTACCAAGTTCAGTGCTGGAGGCTGGAGTTCGAGACAACAAACGTAGACCAATATTAATGAGCTCTTAGTAGGTACCAAATCATTTTGTCGGGTGCTGGTTATTATGCGGTGGTGAGCCAAACAGATGAGCCCTGAAGGAGCCCACACCCCAGCCGGCCCAGGGTACTGGGGCCCACCGACAAGGGCTGTGCGGATCTCTCTCAATGAGGGGTGTCTCATGAGGAAGGGCACGATGGGGCTGCCATGTTACCTCTGCCCCTTACCTCATGTTTCTGCACCTCATTTTCCTAATGTTGCATAAAATAAGGGTGATAACATGCATTTTGCAGGGTCTGTTAAGAATTAAGTAAGATAAGGTCAGTAGAGCATAAAGCAAGCACCAGCAGTCTTCTAGTCCATTGTAACTGTTGTCCATTTCCAGGGCATTCACAAATTTAGGCTTAAACAGCCATCGGGATGTCCAGCTCCATCGCTAGCCTACACAGTACCCTTGGGCGAATTAGGAGAAAGTATCTCTTCCCTCCTACCACCATCACTTCTGACTAACGTCACGTGGCAGACACATGGGTTGGCAGACTTCGCCCCCAGCTTGGCTGGCCAGGCATCCTTGGACAGGGCGCACTTCCATAATCGCATATAGTAGCTGTGAAAATGGCTAATAAAGAAAATGATTCCTTCCTCACATATACCCTAGGTCCCATTTTATGCCTTTGCCCTGACTTGATATGCTCTCTTTTACATCCAAAAGTGTCCCAGTTTAGACAAATTATAGGGTCTTTCTGTTTAACCAGGGCAAGAGGAAATAAAGACAATAGTTTGGAAGTTCTAGACTCTAAAGAAACGAGCTTAGACATGGGATGGAGTGAGAGGGTTTGATGAGCCTAGGCGTGGTGAGGAGGCAGGAGGAAAACGGAGATGGGCCCTGGCACTGGGTGAATGGTGTGATTAAAAATGGAGAACTGAAGCTTCACGCAGTCTTGTATTCTTACAGACCTTGGAGACTTGCTCCCAGATGGTGGGCTCTCCTTTTTCCCATATTGTACCTTAATCCCTTCCTGCTCTCACCAATCCAAACACCTGCTAGACACGAGTCTCCCTTTCCCTGTAACAGTAGAATCGTGGCTTATGGCCGCAGCCTCTGGGCTGTGACTCACTAGCTGGGTTCCTATGGAAAACAAAGCCAAATTGAAAGTGTAACCTTCCTACCTAATGTTTAAGGGAAATGTTAAAATGTTAACACTAGGCCATTCACTGTATTCCATCCCAAAGGAGGACGAGCCAGAAGAGAGATGGGCATGTAGCCTTCCGTAAATGAGAGGGGCTGGGTTGATTGTGGGTGTCACGAGAGCGCAGCTGTATATCAGAGTACCTGGAGGCAGAGATTTCGATCTCAGCTTCTATTTAAAAAAAATGGAAAATAGAGGGTAAAAATAACATTGGGCATAAAGATCTCTCTTCCTAGCTGTGTGGCCTGGGACATGGTGACTTAGTCTTTGTGACGCCTTTTCCGTTCCTGGGGCTTGGGGATGACCATACAAGCTCACAGCATTTTTGTGACAGTGTCCTCACACACGTGAACCATCTAGCATTGGGCCTGCCCCAGAGTAAGCGTTTGTCAAAAGCCTTTTTTTTCCATATTCCCCTTCCCCAGAGAAGGCGGGGGTTGGGGTGGGGGAAGAGCTGTGACCTCGTGGTGCTTCAATGATTTTCTGTTTTGGAATTTTTTTATTTGCAGAAAGTCAGAAATATGGCCCTGGATGATGTCGTGATCCTTAACGTGGACACCAACACCCTGGAAACCCCCTTTGATGACCTCCAGAGCCTCCCAAATGACGTGGTGGGTAGCATGAAGGTGACATCCCCCCATGGGGAGAGGGAAGCGGGAGGGTGGCCGTGGCTTTCCTGTGCCCTAAGGATCGCACTGGGTTTGTCTGTTCCCTGGAACCTTTGTCTCAGTGAAGGAAGTTGGAGGTGATTCATTTTTGTAGACATGTTTTTCTCTCATAACTTTCATCTGAAAGGCCGCAAAGCGATCCCAGGGCCTAGATGGCTCCCCTTCGTGTGGGAGCCTTGGGGTCTCGCCATCGCTCTCCAGCACATCACCGTGTCCCCTCAGGTGGTGAGGGGACTTTCCGTGTGAGTGATTTGGGGCACTTCAGTCCTCCATTTTTTTTCCTGGGACACACCATCAAACATGGCCATCAGCAGTTTTCTGCTGACCCTGCTCTGAGCACGGCTCCGTGTGCCCTAAATCTTTCCTCGTGACCTCAGGTCTAGACAGGACGTGGGCTCTAGTTACGTGGGCAGCAGAAAGTACTGGCTGCCGCATTTGCCAGGGTAGCATCTGACCTCACACTTGCTTCACGTTGCTACCCAGAGCTGCCTCATGGGTGACTGTTTGGAGTAGACCCATTGTCCCCCATTGTCCTTACGAATGAGGAGGATTGGGGTTCAGTGGGAAGCACAGCTTTGGTATTTCTGGTCTGACCTCCCTGACTCTGCCTGCGAGAAGATCTCGAGTTAATTCCAACTTCCAGACTGAGAGGAACATGGTGCTGGTACCGGGTTGGGTGTGTGTCACTGGGTGTGTGTCCTCGCCGTGGGCATTGTTGCTCCATTACTGCCATGGGTCGTGCTGGCATCATGGGGTCCGCTCTCTGGAAGAGACTGGTGTTTGCTGATGAATGGCTTACAGCAAGGTTTCGTGATCTTCTGCTCTTAACTCGCTGGGAGATGTTGGAGTTATTTGTGCTCTGTAAAGATGTTCAGTTTGTAGCATAGCTAAACAGTGGCTGCCATTCACTGACCCCTGCGTGCTATGATTGTACTAAGTGCTCATCATGGACCTCTCATCTCCTCTTCACATCACTCTAAAGAAGGTCTTTTTCTTATTCACACTTTACCCACAGAGGTAGAAAGAGGGGGAGCCAAGGAGCAAACCCGACTCTGTCACTCAACAGAGCCACCGGCCCCGCTGCCTCTCTGGGTGCCTTCAGCATTCAGGACCTCATTCAGTTAGCACCATAGCCCCATGGAGTTGGCGTCCTCTCCCTTCCACAGGGAGATGGAGACCTCAGCGAGCACGTGCCTAACCACAGACCACACGGCTGGCTGGGGCAGAGCTGAGGTCGGAACCCCAGGACCCCGGCTGGACAACACCAGAGCCTGGGCTGCCTCCATCAGAAGTAGGAAAAATAAAAGTACCAGACACTGTGAGGTTTGTTCCTCATGTCAGAAACAGGGTACGTGGTTGGTCTCTTAGAGCTTCCTGACCATAATTCAAGTTCTTTTGGTCCAAGGAATGCTACCCCAATTCCCTCTCAGTGGAAACTCTCCCTTTAAGCCATGTATGTCTTAGGTATGGACATTGCAACTGCTGAGTGAATGTGGTAAGTGCGCCTGAAGTACAGTATATCAGGTGCAAGGAATGGCCAGTGGCCTGGGGCAGCCCAGGGTGAGAGAGACTGTGGCGCAGACTGGTCCCCTCTGCAATGCTCTGACCCCATGCTGGGCACTGAGGAGCAAAAATGAAGCAGACCTGGTCATCCCCCTCAGAGATCACATTCCAGTAGGGGAAGCAGGCGGTGTGCCCTACATGAGTATCACAGTGTGCCGGAGTAGGGGCCAGAAAAGCGGAAATCGGGCACAGAAGAGCCTGAGGGTGACAAAATGTGAGGGAGAGCAATGGAGACTTCCTGAAGACGGTACACTCCAAGATGCCTTTTAAATGATCAGTGAAGTGGCTTCAAAGAACCAACGTTCTTAATGTGTCACAATAGAATTCATAGGTTTCGTTCTCTAAGACTCTGTGAGCTATGAGTCCTTGAGAGGAGAAATCATATCCTGCCATCATTGTGTCCCCTGCATTTAGCTCAGGACCAGGGACTGGGAGCCTATCAGCATATCCACGGTGGACCTCCCAGTCTTTTCTTTTGCCAAAGCTACTTAGTGACGGCATCTGACAGACACTGCATTTTTCAAAGCCTCTTCTCCATCTCTCCAAAACGCCACCTGGTCCAAGCTCTTATTTCTTTCCTGCACTGTTACCAGCAGCTTCTGAACTGGTTCTTGGGACTCTCTAGCCCTTCTTCCTCAAGCACTAGTTAGCTTTATAAAACACAAACTTAACTATATTTCCCTAATTTAGTTATATTTAGTTATAGTTATAGTTTACTAAATTTAACTATATTTAAAACCATTTCATCAATGAACATAATTTTAAAAAGATTTTTTTTAAGATTTTATTTATTTTTAGAGAAAGGGGAAGGGAGAGAAACATCAGTGTGTGGTTGTCTCTCCAGTGCCCCCTACTGGGCACCTGGCCCACAGCCCAGGCCTGCACCCTGACTGGGAATTGGACAGGTGACCCTTTGGTTCACAGGCCAGCCCTCAATCCACTGAGCCACACCAGTCAGGGCTAAAAAAATTTCTACGGACAAAAAGCCTTCCATAACTTCCCAGTACCTATAGATTAAAGACAAGTTCCTTTTGTTGGCTTTGGAATCAGAGAGACCTGTAATTACGAGGTCTGTCCAGAAAGTATCCATATATGTAATATGAAAAAGAGAGACATTTATTGAAGAAGATAAAAGAACAAGATACAAGAAACATTGTATATAAGACAATGGCACTTCAGTCCCCTTCAGAGTAGGCACCTTGGGGCCTCACACAGTTCTCCCAATGACCATCAACCACCCCGTCATATTTTCCTGAATCTCATCTATCGACTGAAGTCTCTTCCCTTTCAAAGGTGATTTTAGTTTCGGAAAAAGCCAGAAGTTGCTGGATGCCACATCTGGGCTGTAGGGGGGCTGAGTCACCTGGGTGATTTGATGTTTCACCAAAAAACTGTGCATGAGACATGATGCGTGAGTGGGCACATTGTCGTGACGAAGCTGCCAATCACCAGTTGCCCATCGCTGCAGCCTTCTGAATCATCCAAATAGTCTCTGTGGAGGAATGTTCAAGCTTCATGCAAAACTTAATGCAGTTTCATTGCTGTATTCGCTCAGTCATTTTAATGCGACAGCCACACAGTACACATGCTCACTCAACGACATCTGCCGCCCCCACTGACTAGTACAGTGAAGTCATCATTGTTAACACACGGGCATCTAAGTCCACTCTCCTTGGCTGCCAGCTTACATCAATGTCGCGCAAACCGTTCTTGTTATATTAACAACGGTTGGACTTCCTTCTGGACAAACCTCATATATCCAGGCTTCCTCAATTACTAGCCATATGATCTTGGGCAGTTGCTTACGCGCTCTGAGCCTTTGTTTCCTTAAAACATCGTTGTGACTATTAAATATAATGCACATAACATATGTAAAATTGTCCTATGAGCTCTGTAGATTGTAGGAATTATGGATGCAAATGATGACGAGGATGGCATTCAACGCCCTCCTTCATGATATCCACCTGTTGGTTGGTTGGTTGGTTTGTTTTTCCTATAGCTTTAGCTCTCTCCTCACTGCCTCAGACCCTGCATTATAGGTGTTTGGAACTCTTAGTATTTCTCCCAAGCTTACATGTTGTTTTGTAACTTCACACTTTGCATACAGAGTTTCTTTTGTCCCAAATGTCTCACCCCATCTGTCAATCTCTTATTCATTCTTGAAGATTTAACTCTAAACGTTAGGCTGTAAAAACCTTCCCTGACCTCTCCAAGTGGATTTGGCCATATCTGTGTGTCCCCACAGCTCCTGTACTGCTTATATAATTATACTTATCAACCAGCAGGATAATTTATTACACATTTCTGTGTTTCCATTTTAATTATGAGTTCTTTGAGGGCAGGAATCAAGTTTTATTCATCTTTGTTTCCCAGGGATCTAGCAGCCACTGACTAGATAGATGGAAGGATGAAGGGAACATATGGATTGGGTTATTTTGGTAGATGAAATCTTGCAAAACATGGCATTCGTGCTGGAAATTTTATTAAAAGAGGCCTTTGTTCTGCTTCTAGCCATGATGGAATAATTGGAACTAGATTTCTGCCCCTGACATTAACAACTAAAACTCAGGACAAATATGAAAACAACTGTTTTCACATATCGTACAACAAGCAGTACAGGAGTATGATCCCTGAGAGAAAGGAAGCAAGTAAGATAAGGCCTACAGCCCGCCCTGCCCCCGCTTCTGCCCCGAGGCATTTTCTGAACTTTGGCCCAGGAGGGGGCTCCCCAGCCAAGCACTACAGTCTTGCTGAGTTAAGGGGTTAGAGATTGAGTTTGAGGAAGAGGTAGTTTGTGGGTCAGATTATAAAACAGGAGGGAGCTACTCAGCAAAAGAGCTTCAGAAATCAGAATTGGGTCCTCTTGACTAATCGGCTGAAGACTGACCTGCCCACCTGTGGGACGGAGCTCACACAGACTAGGGATCCTTCAAGCTCTGAATAGCCAGAGCAGGAAGACCATAGGGGATCACTCAGGAGAAGCATCAGAAACCCCCTGAGGCCAAGCCTTGCTAGTAGTCTAAATTAGCTCTGGGTAGATTGTTTTAGCCCTGTCCCACCAAAGCTTAACATCAAGCCTTGAGGCTCTCCGCTCCTCCTGTTTGACCGGCAGCCCTGTCTTCCCGCGCAGCGCCAGCCTCAACCCTGAGACACGATGGTGAGGGTTGGAGTGAACGGATTTGCCCGTATTTGGCGCCTGGTCCCCCGGGCTGCTTTTCACTCTGGCAGGGTGGATATTGTCACCATCAGTGACCCCTTCATCACCTCAACTACATGGTCTACATGTCCCAGTATGATTCTACTCATGGCAACTTCAAAGGCACAGTCATCAATGGAAAGTACATCTCCATCTTCCAGGAGTGAGGTCCAGCCAACATCAC